TCGTTCCTCACGTCAAAATCACCACTTTTGAATTTTTTAAACCACTCGAAACACTGAGATTTACCAAGAGCATATTCACCGTAAGCTTCGACAAGCATTCGATGTGATTCTGCAGCAGTTTTCTTTAAATGATAACAGAAAATCAATGCTGTCCGCAAATCATAGTTAGTAGGCTCGAAACGTGACATGTTTAAGGTTATACAAAAATATACTAGAGAATGAAAGTTGGGGTTATGTTTGTTGACAATATTCGTCAGCTGTTAGGAGAATATAATAGCGCGGCAGTAGCGGTCTTACGGTCACTAAACTGAACGCTGGCACCATTTATAGGGGAATTCCGGTTTCATACTTCTACACCTGGTACTTATATTGAGTATTTGATCATTAAAATTATATTTTTCTTCTCTTTATATGTTGTATAAATACACATCAAAATAACACTTTCGCATATTAATTCAGTTTGTCATAAAAAATTGTGAAAAAGCAAGCACGATTTTCAGGTAATCTGCCCCTCCGGACCCCTTAAGACAATGATTATATACCCCCAAAGATCGAGGATACTGCCATTGCTGAGAACGATCTTAGCACAATAATTGCGTGTACAAAAAAATAACGCGTTTCACATACGTTACGATCGATTCGGAAAAATCACGCGCGACGTCTCCGTTCATCTCTGCGTCATGAAATGTTATGATCGCTCGACGATTTCGCGCACAGGTATTTATTGCTATGTACGTTATTGCTTCCGAGGTCACACGTGACCTCTAGCCGGCGAGACATGTCCGACAAAGCCGTTACGTGTTACTTACTCATTAATTTCACAATTCTTTCGACGTAATATTATCATCATACATTATAACATCACGCATATTATAAATTATTACATACATATATAATAATGTACATATTTCTTTTCATTATTTCAGTATACGTAATTATAATATAGTTATAATGTATAACATATTATATAAATATGTGCAATATTATATACATTATGCATTATTCTATTATACGTTGTTTATAGTACTCTTAAACTCTTAGTATTTTATACTTTATAAAACTCTATAGTACTCTTGATATACAAGTCAAAATGCATAACGTTCGCGATGACACTCGTTTGCAGTAAAATCTGTGACACGAGTTAGCGCTGTGCTTTTCTCTTAGAGAAGGTAAATGACTCAGCAATTGAATCTTGTCTCAGTAATTGAAACATTAACAATATATTTGCATTTAACTTTTCTAAAAAAGCCTCTGAAATTCTGTTAAATGATATTTCTTTCTTTATATCCCAATTTTTAAGATTATCTAATTATTATTCAATCGTGGGGTTTGAACTATTCAGGATATGATTAATTTTTCCGTTGAGTTACTGCTATAACCGGTATTATCTAATGTATCTCATTAAAATTATAATTGATATTTACTGATATTATTTTATTCTCTATTACTATACATTTTTCAATCGCTGACAAACCAGTTTTCATGTAAACGTTGGTAATTCCATTAATTATATTTCTCAACAAAATTTATTAAGGCAATTTATTTTCTTTTTTCATATCATTCACAGTGATAATTTCGTGCTGTAACTTCGCGCGCGCACAGTGCAGTGAGACACGTGCTTTTGCTTCGAAACGATCTCTCTCCTGCTTTCATCTGGGATTAGAATGCCAACGCTCCGGCTCAAAGGTCATCTCAGCCGACCGACATTCCGCCGCTCCACGATAGCAAGAGTATTGTCTCGCTATCGTCGCTAATCAAAACGCTGAACGCGTTAACGTTACAGCGCGGAGTTCTCCACATGGGTAACAATCGATAATTAGCATGTTGACGTTGCCTGCGATAGAGCTGTAAAAGGTATGGATTCGCACGTGACATGCAACAATAATTCAAACGAATGAGGAGGAAGGAAGTGCCTTTAATAAACGGTAGAAGCCAAGATGTGAAACGCTTAGAAAATAGACTCGGTGAAAACCAGGAAGCAAGAACATTATTATACGTTTCTCATGAAATTCTTTGTGTTTATTACAAAAGGGGCACTCTCTGTATGAGAGGGGCGCTCTGTTTTTTAAAAGCTTCTCTGTGAATGCATTGCGTCGTGCCTTTTATGATGACGGTTTGTCAGACCGTCAATGAGAACAGTACTCAATTCGATGATACACTGAGAGAAAAATATGGTCACTTTCGCCCCCAACAAAACTGTAATTTTAACCACAAAAGTAGTTAGAATAACCATCTTTCTAATAACACTAACTATTTAAATAATTAGAATAACCATTGTTTTAGTAAATATTATTAGAAGAATGGTTATTCGAACTATTTTTGTGGTTAAAATTACAAAACAGTTTTGTTGGGGGCGAAAGTAACCATATTTTTCTCTCAGTGTACATGAAGAAAAAGTAATAGTTGATTTAACGGTAGATTATTAATTAATTATTAGTATTACTCCTAGTAAGTTATCGGATCGGGGAGATAATAAGAGAGATT